AATAATTTAATTTTGATGTATTTTTTAAAAAATTTTTGTTGTTGGTAGATATTTTTCCCTAAATATCAAATTATATGATAACATCGATTTATATTCTAAAAATAAAAAAATAAAAAATGAAAGTTCCCATAAAAAATAATAACAATAAAAGTTGGTAAACATGGGTCTTACCCAAAATGATAGCTTTTCTGACTTTGGATTCATCAATAACTAGAACAAAGAAACAAAAATAAAATCAGCAAGACGAACAAAGAGAAAAAAAAATATCGTAGGCACAAAAAAATTCCATTAGGTCACCTGCTACCATTGGGCAGAGGAGCGGATCGCAAGTTCTTGTAACTAATCAGATCAAAAGATTGAATAAATATTCATGTTTTCTGACATTCTGTTTAGTATTTATTGTAATTTTTATTTCTAATTTTTATTTTTATAATTTTTGTAAATAATAAAAATATAAATTTAAATTCAAAAAATAATATTTTTTAAGACATGTTTGAACACTGTTAACAAAAAAATAAATAAATTTATTTAAGAGTATAAAAATTGCTTTTTGTTTTAATTTTGTTTATAATCATAATAATATGTTACAAAAATATATGAAATTAGTAAATTAATTTTTTATTTAGGATTACAAAATTTATAAAAATTAAAATTAAAAACTAAAGAGTTAAAAAAAAAAAACTTATGTTATGGGCATTAAAACCTAGAAAAATGATTTGAATGTCTTCTAATTTAACACATATTTCGATGTCTAACCAATTTAATTATTAAAATATGTATAATATAGTTGTAATTGATTTAATTATTAAAATATAATATAGATGCAATCAATTTAAATAATTCTTTTATATTGTATGCATAATTATATGTTTAAAATTTTTATTTAATTTTATATTAAAAATAATAATTTTTGTGATAAACATATATATTAAACTAAAGAATGTGTGCATTAGTATCTTGAAACTTATTCTTAATTTTTTCTTGTCTTCCATGTTTTCATACAAAACCCCTTTGATAGATGCTTGTAAAATAAATTGTTTTAGAAAAGCTAAATATACATAAAAGAAATCAGGCACAGGTATAATTAATTGACAAGAGAAAAGTTTACCTTTACATCCAAGAGGTAGATAAGGGTTGCCGTGAAATCCAGGTCCACAAACACATTGTCGACCTCCGTTTGGGGGCATTGAAGAATTATAAAACTGAGTTCCGTTTGGGACCAGGGAAGAAGGATTATAAAGCAGAAGGTAAAAATACGGATAAATGCTATCATTCGGCGGTAAACACTGAAATGCATCAGGATATATATGTGGTAATTTTGATGCATCCTCCTCAGAAATCAGCCAGGTAAACACATCTGGAACATATTCCTGGAGTCGAATGGAGAACTGTTCTCCCTGGTAGGACGTGAAAGGACTTCCACTTAAATTCACAGGTTTCACTGTAATCATCTCAGAATAATCCCCTATCATCGGTCTTTTGACTACAACAATGCTGTGATCAAGAGCGAAGGACAGCACCTCAATATCCATGCGGGCTAGTAAAGTAATAGGAGGGTTGGAAGTTTCATTGCAGGAGACCTCAAACCATGTGTTCATGTAACAACCTACTCCAATTCCAAAGGGATATGGAATCTTGACAACCCCACAAGAGTCTTGACGACAACCAGGCTTCACCAGAGCCTGGCCTGCTGCTGATTCAATCATTAGCAGTACTAAGAAAGCAAAGATAGATGATGTTCGGATGATCATCATTGTTTTTTCCCTCAAATGCTTATTAGATTTGAGATTTAGAAAATAATGTATAAATGGAACTTTAAGATATATGGTAGAGATGAAGAAATGTATGTAGGACCGATCGATGATAATTTCTACGCATTTTCAGGAACCAACTACCCAAACACAGAAGTCGAAAAGAAGAAAAATTCAATTGGCTGGCTTGACTAGCACTATAATACGATGTATTTCTAGTAAATTTTAATTTAACAAAGGATTTTTT